AATAGCAAATGAAATTTATGAAGTGGTAGGTAGTAGTATTGGTGAATCTAATTAATGCACCGGCAAACAAAGTTCCATGCATACAACTTTACAAAACTCAACCTGAAGATGATACCCCTATTTGCTTGAACATTAAATTAGCCAAAAGGTATATTGCACTAATTCTTTATTACATATTTCAGTTTTTATCTTTTTAATTGAAAAGTGTTATTTTAAATCGTATTGTATTTATTAATTGTATGTGATGAAAACTCAGTGAGATAGCTTTGTAGAAAAATTTAGAGAGAAGATGAAAAAGCTATGTATGGGGTTTATAGATTTAGAGAATGCATATGGCAGTGCTGACGGAGGTTTGTTAATGAGAAAAGGAGTTCTTAAATTGAATTTTAGTTTAGTGGAGGTTATTGTGTATGAAGATTCAATTACAAGTATAAAAATTATGTGAGGAGAACAGAAGATATTTTGGGTGAGAGATGGCCTGCATCCAGGTTCAACTTGTAGCCCCCAACCTGTTTTCTGTTGTAAGACCAGAATATTAAATTTCATATTACCAGAGACAGATTCAAAATGTTCTGTAGAGTTATTACCAAATTCGTAAAGTCCATAAACAAACCGTTAGCCAAGAGTTGAGAATTAAATTGATAAAAAAAATAGCTGTACTCAATTTGAAAATAATAAATCTATATTTTTTTAATTTAAACAATTGACCGATGCACATTTTTATTCTTTACAATTTAAGTTTTTACATATTATATTGTGAGAGATTTTCTAACACCTTCAGTCAGAAAAAGCCATAAAGTCGTATACAACTGACTGTATTTCTTGTTCATCGGTAATTGGATCGAGATTTTCAAAAATTTTGAGATCGACATCTCTCGAAAATGTAGTTCGTTCACCGTATTTCTTATAATTTATTTTTACGGTTTCCACAAACCAACAATATACTTTACATACAACACAACATCACACGAGTTCAATCAGTCCGAATCGGTCCCCGCCGCCAGAAAGCTCGCTACATTTTTGGCAGCTTCCCACTTTTGAACTTCAGTAAGTGAAGCGACCCACGCAGACTTCTTCACTTTAGCGGCCACTTTATTTAATTGAGTTACTCCAAATTCACCAGAGGCGTAGCCGCTCGTCCGAGCCATATTCGCCAAGTCTTTTAATCGCGATTCACTAAATCGACGATTTCGGCGTAGGCCGTCGCTGTCAATTCGGCTGTAGAATAATTCACTTAACACTTACATTTCGCTGAACGGCTTGTATAAAACAATCATACCTGTAAAAATAATTATTATTGATGTAGGTTTTGGTTTTAAAAAAAAATAATAATATAATATAATCTGAATATTTTTCGATCCGGTAATCACCATAAATATTTATAGTATCCACCAGCAAACTCGGTGGACACGTGTAATATTTTTGTACATTTCGTTGAGCACAATACTGGCGATCATGAATTTTTATATTAAAATGAAAAAGTATGTAACCATTTTTATGAAGCTTATGTTCTTTAGCAATTTCTACGGCTGCTCGTGAATGTCTTAAAGGTTGAAACGTATATATTCACACCAATCATGGGACTCACGTTCTGTTTCTTCATTAGACGCATTTTGTAATAGATGAAGAAAAGAGGCCATATCCGCGTTAAATTGTCCCATGATTTGGTTTTCCATTATTATACTAAAGTAAAAAGAAAAAAATAATTTTGTTTAAATTGTATTATTAGTCTAAACATAAACTATTAAAAAGTAATATTTGTTTGACAAATCAGATACTATAGGTATAGGGGTATAATAATTGTCAAAATAAACTGTGTGATTCTTATTTTCTGGAATAATCCTTGATAACCAAACGACAACTAGTCTGAATTTATCCAAGTTTTCTTGACCCGTATAGAGTTCAAATTTGTAAGAATAGCCGTTTGAACTACATAATACAAAACATTTATAACCCCACTTGTGGGGTCATAGAGGCAAATATTGTTTTAAGTAGCTATGAGCTTTTGTAGCACAAAGTTGCTCATCAATGGCTAAGTCACGCTCTAGTGGTACACTAGAAAATTTCGTATTCAAATGGACTACAAGTGGTCTTATTTTAAAAACTCTGTCATGATCTTTGTGATCTTTAGGCGACACATTTAAGTTATTATTAAAATAAAGATAACGTCTTATTAACGATTAAACGATATAAACGAGTAAACAATTGAACGATGCACATTTTTATTCTTTACAATTTAAGTTTTAAATTGGATGAATTGAAACCATTGAATTTAGAATATTTGTTATTTGCGGCTCCGAGTTACTTAAAAATTCAGTATAGTCAACCGCGCATGGTTCATATTTTTTTTATAAAACCTTTCAATTTTTCCTTTAAACGTTGACTCAATTTAAATAAAATTATCTTGACCCGCAGCGGCCGCGTCTGACAAACGTGATGCTTTTTTTCATTTATTTCTAACTGTATTTTCATTATAACAACCGCTCTCAGTAGAATTATCTAACAATCCCCCGTCGTCATCAGTAGACCTTATTTTTTTAACTGACTGCATTGGTGGATTATCCGTTGTACAACCAACACCTGTTGAATATATATATATAAATATATTTATATAAATATATCTATAGTAATAAAAACAAGTCTAACCGCTGTGTGGGTCATCAATTTGTCGCGGTGTAAAAAGAGGGCTGCTAGCCGAAGCGTTTGAAGGAATATATTTTATCACACTCGGTTGTTGTTGTTGACACTGAGCAGAATCTACTTAAGATATATGAACATAAATACAAGAGTACATATAACCACATAAAATATTATGTTAACTTTATATAAAAATTAATATAGCGGAATATTATGTTTTTTTTTTAATTTTATTTTTTATTTCTACTCACTATTATACACTTGTACTAATCCGGTAATAGCATCAGTAAAATTCAATTTGTAACAAGGTCTTTAATAAATAATAACATAAATTGTTTTTTTACGTCTTTCGATTCTATAGTCTATTTTTTTTTAAATAATTACTGTTTAAAAAAATGTAATATATTTAATTGTTCCATTATTAAATCGTATTATAATTTGTCAAAACGTAATACTTCCGAAAACTACCACGGACCAGCTCCTGGAAAGAATAGCCTCGGCCGTCATTACCAGACATAGGACCGACAGGGTCGAGGCAGGCACGAGGGCCTTCACTGAGTCCGCTCAGGGGGTCGATCGTGCGCTGGGCGCGGGCGGCCAGCTTGCTAGTACATTTGATTTTCAGGACTCTTCACTTATAAGCGAGTTAAATGATAAAAGCAAAGTAAATCTCAAAATAATATATCGGCGTCAAACTTCACTACGAAATTGCATACATTTTTATAATGTTTTTCTTCGCCAAATTATGAAATCGTTGGATTTGATCGAGTTTGGAAGAAATATGTAGAAACCCAGCGTTTTCTACATAATCATAATATTTTGAATTAGTATAAGGAGAGTTTATTAAACAATAAAAATTGAAATTACGTTTATCAGTATAATAATACCAAGATTCATGACAGATAATATTTATATTATTAAGTTTAATTTGTGGTATAAGATTACTGCAACATAAAAGTTTTGACGTGAATAAACAGTTATGGTATCGGCTGATGTGCAATAAACACACATGCCATCACTTAATCCTTTACGAGATTTAAAAATTAATTTGTTATTTACTGTTATATTTGACCAATGATTTCTATCATCATCTATAAAATAATTTTTAACTGAAAATTTAGATTATGGATCTTCGTCTGTAGTAATTTTCCAATGTAAAAGCTTTTTGTCTAATTGTTCTAAGTTACCATTATATTTTCTATTTTGATTGTAATGTCTGAGAAGAAAAATTTGGACTTCTACACACGTCTGTGCATAACCGTTTCTTTCCTTATTGTAATTTAAAGTTTCTTTATTGTTAACCCTAATCCACCGAGAATTCAAAGTTTGTAAAAAAATCCTAATTTACATATTTTTTGTTGTATTGGACCTTAGAGGATGGGTAAACAACATTTTTTGGCATGTTGCACCCATGGGAACCCAATTGGGGCCTGTTACATAAATGTAACAGTCGGCACTCAGAGTAAATTTCCAGGAAAAATCTTTATTGCATCAGAATAGACTAAATTTGACTAATTTCAATCACAATGACTCGAATAAAATATGGGGTAACAGTACAAGAACATAGGTAATGCAGTTGGGTGGAGGGGGGGAAATCACTGAGTATGGAAGTCCTTGAAGCAAGACACACACAACCCCACGTCACATTTCAGGCACACCGTTTTCACAAGAGACTTACACGGTTTATTGGCGCACCTCCTTCTATTTTCTATTGGTGATACCAGGTGGTTCATGCCATCGTACCTCAAAGGATCCAGCGCTTGATTTTTCGCCCGGGCACATGGTCCTGGACGTGTAGGAGGAGACCCGTAGCTCCCGAGGTATGTTTGAGCAATCTCGCGCAGAAATTTCAATTTCGATTTCTTGGTGCTGGCATGATGAATAAGGTAGGCGTTGTTGAGTGCCGAATCAATGAGCCACATGAACAGGGGAAACCACCATTTCTTTCCTCGAATGCCGATTTTGTACCTGTTAACGTCTTGGTCCATTCGGTCAGTACCCCCCATATTCTTATTATACTGTTGAATGCAGTAGGGCTGAGGAACGCGAATGATCCTGTGCTCCGTCCTGGAATACCTCTTTGCAGAATTCCTCGGTTCGTAACCAAATTTCGTGGACGCAACAGTTACGGCACTATTATCGAGCCATTTGCAGATAAAGATGCCGTCTGTATGCTCAATTTTGTGAAAACTCGCTCCCCTCTTCTCAGCCTTCTTGATTTCCTTATTTGTGGGTAGTGGTGAACCTTTGGGGATCCTGTTCTCCCTCATTGTTCCAGTCGCATTGTATCCGTTGTCTCGAAGGTGCTTTAGAAGGTTGAATGAAGTGAACAGATTATCCAAAAAAATGTGATATGGTAGGGATTAAATTTCACTAGGAATATCATCCAACATGTTGATCAGAGGCGCTGTAGCTTTACCAAAAGCCTTTTCTTGTTCAGTGGTCACGTTGTTGTTTTTCCCTGTGTATATGTCGAAGTTCACAAGGTACCCATTCACAGCATTTAGGCACCAAACTTTATAGCCGAAGCGTATAGGTTTGTTTCGAATGCACTGTTTGGAAGAATGTTTTCCAAAGTACTTGACCATACACTCGTCATACGAAAGGTTTTGGGATGGTACGAAAAATTTCAAAAACCGAGTTTTGAGTGCCTGGATGAGGGGTCGTAATTTATACAGTTTGTCTGAATCTTGGTCGTCATTATCGTTCAAATGAAGGAATCGCTTGATCTCAAGAAATCTATCCCTTCGCATGGCTCCACTGACGAGTTGGTGGTTCATGTCTTTCTCAGAATCCCAGTAGTGCCGTTCACTGGGGAGTTGATTATATCCTGATAAAATTAGGATCGCCAGGAAACATTTCAATTTTCCTTTGTCAAGCGAAAACAAAGGCTCATTTTTTTGGAAGGCATAACGTTCGGACTGGGTAATGATCAGCTCCATGACTTCATCGTCAAAAAACAGTTCGAACGTTTGAGCAGCACTCAAACCAGCAAATTGAGAGTAGTCAAACTTGTGAAGTTCCCGCAAGTCTGTGGCCTTTGGATACTTAGCACACAAAAAGTTGAAGAAGGAAGATGGAAGATTTGTAAATGAAGTTAATACTTTCAATCAAAAATAGGTATTATATGTATTACAATATAAGCATTAATTTGATACACAGATAACGAAAATGAGTGTTTGTTGCAGGTATGTCACAATACACAGCCAAAACACTTCTAAGTTGCTGTGGAGAAACGGCTGGTATTTACGCAAAATGCCCATCCGGTTCGAGTGGAAGGAGTCCTTCGGATCCCCGCCTCGGTGACCTTTTCTCAGTTGTGCAAGCGTTAATCCGGGTTGTTGGAGAATGGCCAAGCTGTCTTCTGTTAAGTGCGGAACATTGTCGGATAGATAATTTATACAATTTATGTGTTTGTTTGTGCGTTTTTACAATCTTTCAGTTGTACAAAGTATATGATTTGCATAAATAAATTGGCTTTTACAATTTATAATTTGGATTTTACAATTTATGACGTTGTTTACATTTGGTTACATACAAGATATAGAATAACTCCTTTCGGTCGTACACATATTAATATTCAAGGAGAAATCGGTCATGACGTAAACTTGGCTGGACTTAGTAATCCATTACATTTCTCTCCCCAAAAAAAGATGTTTTGTACATTTATGAATAAAACATCTTTGACAATACTCAATTATTTGCTTGTGTATCATTACATATCATTAAAATTACAATGGTTTTTAAAAGTTATACATTATATAGTTATACATTTGAATACATAGTGATTATAGGTTAATAGTTAGTATTACATAAAGTTTTTTTTTTTTTTAAACATTCAAAATTAGTGGTTAGTATAGGTTAGTATTATATTATATATTATTTTTTTTTTTTTTTTTCAATTACAATTACAATATATCTTTTCATCAAAGTACAATACAATATATATATATTCTTTTTCAAAGTACAATACATTTTTTTTTTTAAATTGACATTATAATATATATTTTTTTTTTAAATACAATTACAATTTATTACCTTAGATAATATCTTCAGTTTTTAGAATCTATGATAAAAGCATCTTTTTCTCTTTATAATTTTGACTGTGTTACAATCTTATTAATTATTATTAATCACAATCTACTTGACGCCGGTGTGTGTCCTTGAGCTCGGTGTGAGAAAAGACAAGTCCTGTCTTTCCTTGAACCATGGGGAACAACACCTTCGTCTTCATTAAATGAGGTACGAGCAATTTTTTAAATAAATAAGGAAGGGTGGACTTAATCAAGACAGGGCCATACCAGTTCGGTGTGAAGAGAGACAAGTCCTGTCCCCCTTAGAACTTTTTAGGCATAGCCTAGTCTATGATTTCGTCCACTTCATAATCCATATTAGGTCGTACCCCCGTAATTTGTGATACTAAATAATCCCTGTCTTGGATAGCTATGACTATAGCCATACTAATGTTATAGGGTCGTAAATTACTAAAACGATCTCTAAATGTAGTTTTAACTTGTTTTTCGGTACGTTTAAGAAAACTATTGGGAAAATTGACTGTATTAGCCTCTACTAATATATCCCAAAGTGTTCGTCTTCTTTTATAAATAGTGCAGTTTTCAAATGCTATTCTCAGTACCCTAGTAAAATACTTTGCTTTATCTGTCGTATTTTCATGTTCAAAAATCGAATCTAATAGGTTATCCCCCTCTATGGCGGCGATAACGAGTGCCATTGAGATGTTGTATGGTCGTAAGGACCCATAAAGTTCCCTCATTAAATTTGTAATATCTTTTTCAATGCTTTTCAAATAATGATCATCAAATTTTATAATTAATTCTGAATTTACTTCAGTTATTATGGTATTTAATGTGCGTCTGGGTGCAAGATGGTTAGTGCAATTGTTTAAAGCAAGATTTATGATTTTTTTCATAAAGACTACACGGGGATTGCTCGTACTCATTATGTCTAATGTATTAATTCTAATGTAGGTAGGAAAGTTTTCCATTCACCTAGAACATTAAAACATAATTTTTTTTTAGAATTTAAATGTTAGTGTCACTTATGCTACTTATTTCGTAATGTCAGTTATGTTCTTTTTTTCCTTTTTTTTTTGTTTTTCTTTTTCCTTAAGCTAGGCATGTCCTTAATTAATCTATAAAATCTAATCGGCCTTAACTTACTAATAATGTAATTCAAAACACAGCGTGTAGCAATCGTGTCAAAAACCGGGTCATGAAAGTTCATATGGGGGGAGTGTGTTTCTATACACGTAAAGTCGTGAGCTTCCCGCAGGTTCAGCTCCCTACCCCCTTTTTTAACCTCCCCTAAAAACTCATCGTAATAAATTTTCCCGGTCACCATGTTTATCAACTTCCAATTGAACCGCCCGTCATTGTTGTTATCCCAGGCGGTCATATTCAAATATTTATAAACGTTTTTTATTCCAAATTGCTGCAATATTTTGTAATCATGGTTACCGTTCCAAAACACTACGATGGGTTTCCTTGAACCTTTGTGGATATATTTTGAAATGGAGGGTAAATTCATCGTCGAGGGCCCCCTTTGATACAATCCCTTATTCAACTCGTTTAATAACGAGCCGAACGCTGGTTTTGTTTCCTTAAATCTAATGCACTGGCGGGTGAGCGATTTGAGTTCCTTCAGAAATAATTTCTTTTCCTGGTATTAATACATCTTGGTCACTGTAAGCTCTACAAGAGGAATTTAAACTTAGTATCCCATTATTTTCTAATTGTATTCGTTCTGCGGGAAGATCTCCGCAGGCTATGAAAACGGTTTCCCCAGGTGAAATATACAGCCATTTATTTTTATTCGTAAGTTTATAGAAAATAGTACTAGATATTCTGTTATAAAGGATTTTACAACTACTAGGAACAATTCGTTGTTGTTTCAATAGTAAAAGCTCCCAAACTTGCAAATTGCTGTAAGCATGGAGTGGATATAATTCATCACATAGTAAGAAATTTGAGCTTCGTTTACAGTTTAACTGTTGTGTTCATTTCTTTTGCCCTAGATTTTGTTTTCCTAACCGTTTGTAGTTCAACATGCACTACACCTAGTGTACTCCTAGTTAATCGCCTATCTGTTTCCCTAAATGTTCTGTTCAAAAGGTCTATCGGGTCGGTTTCAGATTCCTGATCAATAATAATAGAACTACTGTTACTGTCGTCTAAATTAATTAAATCAATTTCATTAGATTCTAACGTAACCTCAGATAAATCTAATTCTTTCTTAACATGAGAAGTGTCTAACTGCTTATTATTACTCATACAATCAACTTAATTAACTTATTTTATAATCTTATATTATAGATTACTCACAATAGAGCGTTCATGTTGAGTCGTCTGGTCGTGTCAAAGAACGTTGAAGATCAAGAAGGCTGGAACTCTTCAATTGGTCTTCGGTGTGATGTTGCAATCAGTCCCGCCTTTGACAATCGTACCGCGCTGCGCCAGTGTGAAGTTCCCGCAAGTCTGTGGCCTTTGGATACTTAGCACACAAAAGGTTGAAGAAGGAAGATGGAAGATTTGTAAATGAAGTTAATACTTTCAATCAAAAATAGGTATTATATGTATTACAATATAAGCATTAATTTGATACACAGATAACGAAAATGAGTGTTTGTTGCAGGTATGTCACAATACACAGCCAAAACACTTCTAAGTTGCTGTGGAGAAACGGCTGGTATTTACGCAAAATGCCCATCCGGTTCGAGTGGAAGGAGTCCTTCGGATCCCCGCCTCGGTGACCTTTTCTCAGTTGTGCAAGCGTTAATCCGGGTTGTTGGAGAATGGCCAAGCTGTCTTCTGTTAAGTGCGGAACATTGTCGGATAGATAATTTATACAATTTATGTGTTTTTACAATCTTTCAGTTGTACAAAGTATATGATTTGCATAAATAAATTGGCTTTTACAATTTATAATTTGGATTTTACAATTTATGACGTTGTTTACATTTGGTTACATACAAGGTATAGAATAACTCCTTTCGGTCGTACACATATTAATATTCAAGGAGAAATCGGTCATGACGTAAACTTGGCTGGACTTAGTAATCCATTACAAACTGTTGAAAACGATCATCGTCTGGGATGGGTTCCAAATCTCCGTCAATCCATTTTCTTCGTTTATTGGCGACAAAAGGCTCCTGCAGTTCCGAAATTCTAAATCTTCTGTTACGTATTGTTGAGTATTTCGGATTATTAATTTTGTTGTACTGTTTAAAAATTGCTCATAAACGTTGATTATGTTATATGTTAATAGGTTTAAATCCCTGCAGGTTTTGATATTCATGAAATCGTTTTTATTAATTTTACTTGATTCTGAAAAAGTTTTTAGTGACTTTAGTTTAATTTTGAAATTGTTTTCGTCATGATGCCATGTACAATGAAGTATGTCTTTGTCATGTTCATCCGTTGTACAGAATGAATTTTCCGCCTCATTTTCTTCATTTACAAAATAAATATCTGAACTATTAAATTTAATATGATCAAGTCTGGCACTACTAATTTAGGGAAAATGTAATAAATCGCCGTTAAAATAAAAATGGTATATGCGTCTCCTACGCTAACAGTATAATAATATTGTGCCATTGATAAGTATATAAATAATAGTCTCCGTCAACGCGGTATGAAGTGATAACATTGTCGCCGTGATATGTAATATGTCCGTCTTCGCGGTAAAATAATAATTGAGCCACAATAATTGTATATATAAAGTTTTGTCCGTCTGTGCGGTATAGTATAATAAATTGCCACGAATAATGTCTAAAGAAAATGTCATTGCCTGTGCAGGGTAATATAATAAATTTGCCACGAATAATGTATAAATAAAGTCTATCTGCCTTTGCAAGATAACGTAATCAATGAGCCACAGTTAATATATATTGATCATGAAATCATCAATATATATTTCTAATTTA